GTAGCGACTCAAAGGGGAAAAACTGTAAAGTTTGCCCGCATGCCCCCTGAGCCTCAACCGCAGTGAAGGCTGAGGCTAGCATGTGGGGCTTCCGAAACAACTCTTAAACCCTGACCCCTTTAAGAGGGATTCTGCCATAACATTGGGGGGGTAGGGTTTAGGGTTTAGGGTGTAGGGTTTAGGGTTTAGGGTTTAGGGTTTAGGGCTTAGGGCTTAGGGCTTAGGGCTTAGGGTTTAGGGTTTAGGGTTTATAACAGGGGATCCGGTTGTTTTTAGCAAATGTGACACGGATAAGAGCCAAGGCCCCTACTTGGAGGGACGGGGGTTTTTGCACGTAGACTGAGGTTTTAGGGTTCAGGGTTTAGGGTCGATACTAAGTCGGGTTCGGAAGCAGGGTAACCGCAAATCGGGTCCCTTTGAGGGAACTTAAGAGCTCTACATTGAGCCGCAAATTGAGCCTCAACCCTAAGCACTACTTATATCTCTATTTTGTACCTGCTTCCAAAGTCCCCCGATCTCCAAGCAAGAAAGTCAGGGCCCATGCGCATGTCCATCGGGAGCCCTCAGACCTTGGAACTAAACCTGAACCCTAAACCCTAAACCCTAAACCCTAAACCCTAAACCCTAAACCCTAAACCCTAAACCCTAAACCCTAAACCCTAAACCCTAAACCCTAACCCTAAACCCCAAAAACCTCCGGTCCCAAGGTCGAAAACCCCATATAAGACCCCAAAGCCCCTAAGACCCTAAGAGCCTAAAAGACCCTAAGACCCCCAAAGATCCTCCGACCCCAACCCCAAACGCCCCTAAGACCCCAAAACACTTGTCCAACCTCGGCAGGATGGGTCATAGGAATACCCCTTTTATACACCAAACAGGATGGAAGCCCCTTAAAGGGAACCCCCCCAAAAAGGGTACCCCTATCTTCGGAAACCCCCAAAGCCCCTAAACCCGAAACCCTAAACCCGAAACCCTGAACCCTAAACCCTCAACCCTAAACCCCAAATCCCGCTTTTGGAAGGCCGATGCCGGTAACGTGAAGGGGCTGTCCCAGGCGGCCAAAATTGCCGCTCAGACGCTCCTGCCGGAGGTGCCACTGGCGGAGGAGGACCGCCGGAAACTTTGCACCGTACACCCCTAGAACTTACGCCCTAAGCCCTAAACCCTAAACCGGAAGCCCTAAACCTTAAGCCCTAAACGCTAAGCCCTAGGCCCTAAGCCCCTAAACCTTAAACCCGAAACGCTGGTGTGGTTGGAGGGCGTTGTGGCTTTCGAAGGGCGAGCTTCGTGGCACGGACATCCTACTTCATTGCGTGTAGGGTTTAGGGTTTAGGGTTTAGGGTTTAGGGTTTAGGGTTTAGGGTTTAGGGTTTAGGGTTAGGGTTTAGGGTTTAGTGTTTTGGATTTAGGGGTTAGACGTCGACGAGGTGCTTAGGGGTTGATGGAAGCTTATAGAGCTACAGCTGGTTACGACTTCTGACCCTACTTGTCTTCGTGGTTCTTACTAGGGAGGCAGGGAATTAGGATCCCTGCAAGTAGGATCGCTAAACCCTAAACCCCTGGGTAGCGCAGTGGTGCCCTTTGCCCTTTTGTGGTTCTTGGTTCCCTTGTAAAGTAACCAACGGTGCCCTTATTATGATATGGACATTTCCCACCCTAAACCCTAAACCCTAAACCCTAAACCCCGTTTATGCCCCAAATAGAATAGCAGCCCCTCGAAGGGACCCCCCAGAAAGGGTACCCTTGTTTTCGGAAACCCCCGTATGGTTACTGGTAGACCCTAAACCCTAAACCCTAAACCCTAAACCCTAAACCCTAAACCCTAAACCCTAAACCCTAAACCCTAAACCCTAAACCCTAAACCCCAAACCCCAAACCCCAAACCCTAAACCCCAAGACCCGGATTTAAGGGTTCTGCTAGGCTTAACCCAAACGCGTGTTTGGGTGATTAGCACACGGGAACGGGAGCCAGCTCAGGAGCCCCCTGCGCCCCAAACCCTAAACCCTAAACCCCACACCCTAAACCCTAAACCCTAAACCCTAAACCCTAAACCCTAAGCCCTAAACCCTAAACCCTCCGGAGGACGTCAAGCCCTCGCGCTACCAGCGTGCGATGGACCAGCCACTTGAGGTGCGACCCCCAGGCTTTATGTCGGGCTTTCAAGCGTGTTAAGGGCATGTAAGAGCTTTAGGGTTGTTTAGGTTCAGGGTTTAGAGTTCGCACTTTTTTTTCGGGGGGTGCTTGTGAAGTTTTAAGGGGCTTGGTGCTTTTTTCGGGTGGACATCACTTCCACGCCGACCAGTGCTGTGGAGAGAGTCCTGCAGACGGGTGGGGTCCTGCCAGGCTGGAATGCCCAGGGAGACCCGAAGCAGGACCTGGATTTGCCGAAAGCATGCAAGCACCACAAAACTGGACATCTGCGCAGCCTTTGCTTTGTGCCAAGATCAAGCGTAGGAGTCAAACTAGCACGCCGTGGTCTAGTCCGGTCAACGCCGGCATCGGACCTGGACGTGAAGATGCTTCTTCCATGCGGAAGGCAGCTCAGCCGCATGCACCGTGATGGCTCCTTGGCAAACCTGCCCGCCCAGTCCGAGTATGATCTGAAAGTGATCTGAACACAGCACGTGTCCAACGGCGTGGTTTTTGGGGCTTTGTAGGGCTTTGGGGATTTTAAGGTTCGGGGTTCCGGGCTTTAGGGGTTCAGGAGCCTTTAGGTTCAGGGTTCATATTGGGTTTTGGGTATAGGTGTCACCTGAAGCCTCTTATAGGATCTTGGGGTCACTTACGAAAGATGACAAGTGCTCACGGGGTTACGGGTGCGCAGGCACAGATCATGGGACTCTACCTTGGAATTTTAAGGTGAGGGTTTAGGGTTTAGGGTTTAGGGTTTAGGGTTTAGGGTTTAGGGTTTAGGCTTTAGGGTTTAGGGTTTAGGGTTTGGGGACCCTGTTTACGATCCTCTAAGGGACTATCGGGGCCAAAAGGGGTTTCCGAAAGTAGGGGGTCCTTAGGAATCCTACCTGCCTTCTCCGACTCCTGGCCGGGCGCCCGCCCCTGGCCCTTTCTTGGGCGGACAGACGGTAAGCGAGGGCAATTAAACCGACGAATTCCATGAACTGCTAGAACTACTATAATCATAATCAAATCTGATGCCTTCAGCATGGTTGACCTTTGGATTGGTTGCATACCGTCGCTTGCTCAAAAACCCTGCCAAAACCTCTGACCAAGCGACGTCTAAGCCTAGGTAACAAACCAGAGCATCAACCCTACGACCTCCACAAGAAGCTCTATAAGCGGGGGAAAAGGACGGGGTCCCCCTCACTCCTGAACCCCCTCCACCTGCCCGAACCTCTCCTACCCAACCGTTCAAAGGATGGGGGTGGGAAGTGGGAATTTAGGGCGTTAGTCCGAAACCCTAAAAGGAAACAAGTTGGGTGGATGCCTGCGTAAGCAGGGGGTGGGAAATATAAAACAACCGAACCTTTCTGGTTGTAGCGACTCCAACTTCAACATACGCCGCCGCGACATATGCCGCCCCCTCACACCCCCTGGGTGTGTTGGGGTGCCATCTCCGCATGAAGTCTACTGCTGCGGAGCGGCGAGAAGCCCTAAGCCCTAAGCCCTAAACCCTAAACCCTAAACCCTAAACCCTAAACCCTACACCCTTAACCCGAAACCCGAAACCCTAAACCCGAAACCCGAAACCCTAAACCCTAAACCCTAAACCCTAAACTCTAAACCCTAAACCCTAAACCCTAAATGCCGGAGGGCCGTGGGCGGCTGCGCGCGCAGCTGGAGGATGGGAAGACTCCCAACATCAGGACCCCGTGGCAAGGTTACGTGAAGGTTCAGGGGGTAGGATTTAGGGTTTAGGGTTTGGGGTTCGGGGTTTAGGGTTTTTGGATTTAAGGTTTAGGGTTTTCAGGTTTGGGGTTTAGGGTTTGAGGGGCTTAGCTAACTAGTTGCAAGTGCTGTGTTTAAACGGGGTTAAGGTTCTGTCTTCAGGATGTAGGCTTTCGGGTTTAGGGATTAGGGTTTAGGGTTCAGGAAAGTACCAGGCCCTGTTAATAACTGTTGGGCGGCACCTTCAGCATCATGGGTACGCCGAAGGGCACCCTATTGTAGCTAACCGCCCTAAACACGAAACCCAAAACGCTAATCACAAGCGACCTTAGACGGCTGCAGCCAGATAGCCCCCCCCAGCGCGCGTAGGGCTAGGGTTTCTATGGCGTTTGAAATCTAGGACTGAGGGAGCAGAGTCGAGGTTTCGGTGGATGATCCCACTTGTAGTACTAGTAGCCCTTGTTCGCAAGGGCTTGATGAGCGGTGATGATAATCATGGCTGCCCAGGGTGGTAGCTGCTTCTAAACCATTCTGACCCCTAACGCCACAGCCTAAACCCTATGCCCTATGATCCCTGAACCCTGCTGTAAATGGCATAAGAAGCCTATGAACCCAGAAACCTAAACCCTTTTTTCCCAGGTGTAAGGTGAAGGGGCCCTCCTAGCCTTTGGGTTTAGGGTTTAGGGTTTAGGGTTTAGGGTTTAGGGTTTAGGGTTTAGGGTTTAGGGTTTAGGGTTTAGGGATTAGGGTGATCACCGTTGATGTTGGCGGAGGGCCCGTGCTGCTAGCGCAGACGCTCCCAAGAGCCCGGCACGACGCTTTGCACGAAGGCCAGGGTGTAGGGTTTAGGGCTTACAGTTTAAGGTTTAGGGTTTAGGGTTTTCAGTTTAGGGTTTCGGGTATAATGTTGGGGGATGCAACAACTTCATAATGGGCACATGGGCAGTTCTCCAAATCATGTGTCCTGGTGCTGCAAGTTCAAGGTAGTCGGTGCCTACCAACAAGGGACAGCTCTTGATCTCCAGCCCGAAGCCGAAGACTAACCCCTTCCTGGAACCGGCTACTTAAAGAAACCCAAACAGCACCCCCCGGCCCCCCCCCACCCACCCTAAACAACCGAAACCCTAAGCCCTAAATCCTAAACCCCAAACCCTAAACCCCAGACCCTAAGCCCCAAATCCTTAAACTCCGCGGCGAAAGGCCCTGGGGCTCTGCCGTGGCCACCCGGCTGATCATCTACGCAGGGGTTCCCCGCTAGGGGGTTTAGGGGGCAAACCTGTTGGAGGTTCCTGGGGTTTAGGGTCCAGGGTTCAGGGTTTGGCTTTAGTAGGGTAATGATTTTCTGTATTTTGGGGCATATGAGGGGGGGGGTTCCCTTAATGTTAGGAGATGCCCAGTTGTTGCGACTTTTTCAGGGTTTCGCAGGTTTTCGGGTTTGAGGGTTCTAGGAATCTTGGGTAACTTCAGGGTTTTAGGGCTTAGGATTTAGGGTTTAGGGTTTAGGGCTTAGGATTTAGGGTTTAGGGTTTAGGGTTTAGGGTTTAGTGCTGTGGGGCTCTAGGGCCTTAGGGCTTCGGGTCCGGGAGCTTAGGGGATAGGGCTTAAGGTTGCGACTTAGGGTTTAGGGTTTAGGGTTTAGGGTTTAGGGTTTAGGGTTTAGGGTTTAGGGTTTAGGGTTTAGGGTTTAGGGTTGAGTGCGAGAGTTCAGAGGCGTGAATGGAATCGCTCAGTACGTTCATCCCATCACTGCTTTGCTTCGTGTCGGAAGGAAAGAGCACGAGTAGAGAGGCAGGTTTCCTAGTTGATTTTATTAAAACCATGTTAAGTTGTAGTTTGCATCAATGCGACAAGCGCTCAAAAGAGGACAATCCCCATAAACCCCATAATGCAAGAAACCCTAAGCCCTAAGCCCTAAACCCTAACCCCTGAGCCCTAAACCCTAAACCCTAAGCGCTACAAAAACGGCCCTAAGCGTAACCCTGACCCTACAAAGCCGCAGCCCTGGCGGCGGCGCGCCCCGACCGCCCTCCGAAACCTGGCGTGCCCGTTTCTGGACGCCGTCCCGGATGTCCCGGCCGTGCGCCTGTTCTCGGACGTGGCACTGCGGCAGAGTTGATGAAGGGGCCGAATGCCAAGTGGCTGGCTTGTCCAAAGAAGTGGTTCATTCACCCGGATCCGCTGGAGAGGGTGTGCCTTTTGGTGGATGGGGAGCCCTGCTGCTCCATGGCGATGGATGCAGGCGCCAGCGTTCAGAGCTGCTCAGTCTACAACATCAGTATCAACATCATTTATCTTCTGTTTTGTTGCCAGGAGGGGGGGGAGACCTTGCAGCGTGTCAATGGAGTCTCCGAACGCCACATCCCAAGATTTCTCAACGAGCATGAGACCCCAGACATATGGTGCTAGTCCTGGACTTGCCTAGCAACGGCGCGCCTCGGCCATGCGCGACCCTGGGACCCCAACTCTAACCCTAAAACTAAGTGGGTGTCCCTGCTGGTCAAGTAGTAAATTCAAAGGCCAATGACCTGAATTTGGCGAGCTGATAGTGAGCTGATGATCCACCCGAAAACTAAACCCTTAACCTTTAGAACCCTAAACCGCGAAGTCCCCTCAAGCCCTGAATCCGAAGTCCCAAACCCTAAAACCCAACCCCGTGTCGTGGCTGGGGCCTGCCAACCCCTAAACCCTAACATCCTGGTTTAGGGTTTATAGGGTTTAGGGTTTAGACCTAAACCCTAAAACCCTCAAGCCCGAAACCCTAATACCCTCAGCCCTAAAGCCCTAAACCCTAAAACGCCCCAATGCCCACTGAGGTGACTATTTGCTGAAGAACGCGATACAGGGATTATTGTCTTTATGTTTTTGGGCTTCTTAGACAAATAACCCTAAGCCCTAAGCCCTAAGCCCCAAACCCTAAACCCTAAACCCTAAACCCTAAACCCTCAACCCTGAACCCTGAACCCTGAACCCTGAACCCTGAACCCCGAACCCTAAACCCTAAACCCTAAACCCTAAACCCTAAACCCTAAACCCTAAACCCTAAACCCTAAACCCTAAACCCTAAACCCTAAACCCTAAACACCATAGAAATGCTGAGTCCTTAGGCGAAGCCGCGGCCCGGTCCGAAGACCACCCCACCTCTGCCGGTGGCGGGCTCGGGGACGAGCTGCCCCTCCTCGCAGGCTCAACCTCTGTTTAGGGTTTAGGGTTTAGGGTTTAGGGTTTAGGGTTTGGGGTTTAGGCTAACGCCGTCCATTGCGGCCCCGAAGGTTTCGGCAGGTTTCCGGGTTTTCGGCTCTTGGGGGGGGGGGGGGGGGGGGGGGGGGGGGGTAATTCCGTGACTTTGAGGCTCCTGCTCCACCTTGACTGTACCCTTAACCCGAACCCATAGTCTTCACCGAACCTGCCCACAAGCGTTCGTGCCCTTGGCGACAATGCCCAAAACGCTGGTATTTACAGCATTTTTGCTTCTCTATACAACATCATGGAAGAAGACACGCGGTCACAAGCACTAATGCCTTTGGCGAAGATGCCACAACACTGGTATTTGCAGCATGTTTGCCTCTCTGTACACATGTTTGCCTCTGTGTACAACATAAGCGCAAGAACGCAGTGGTTTTGTGCGAAAAGTGTTCGAAAAGCAAGCACTTTTTTGGGTGCCATGCGCGCGTCTCGAAAACATCGCTGTGCGCAGTGTTTTCGCGCTCACAAGCACCGAGCCCATGGTGCCAGTGGTGATTTTGACCATAGTCAAAATGCGTCCCGCGAATGC